GAAGAAAGCCAACCAGAACAGTTTCCAAAAACCTTTCTTCCCAATCTATAAGCCTGAAATTAAAATGACCTATAATTATGACTTCGTTAACAGCTGAAATTTTAATTTCATTGTAAAGTTTCTCACTAATTCAATCAGTATCATTTGGTGGTCTGTAACAAATTCCCACTAATATCCTTTTCCCTTTATATTCACTAATAGAAACCCAAATGGATTCAATCTCCTTGCTATTATCTTTGATATCCTTAACTTCAACAGAATGTAACTCTCATTTTACATATAAAACCACCCCCCACCCCTCTCTTTAATACTCCATCCCTATTAAATAGCATGTAACTCTATATTTCAAAAAAATTTGTGTCATCAAAATTTAATGTGCAGTATACCATACGGTATTTTTTGTATTGAATTTGTTTTTTCAGATGTCAGTTTCTTAAGTGCCTTCTCATTGTTGATTTTGCATATGGAAAGTGGATATGATTTTTGTGCGGTGTCTTGTTCGGGAAGCTGATAATTTGTTTATGTAGTTAAAAATCAATTAGCAATACTTTTTGATTAATATATTTGTTTGTTTTCCATTTTCATTATTTTCATATGTGATTTTAAATTGGCATAATATTTTAATTTTGTTTCCTTGTGTTATAACATTATTCACTTACTGTAAAATATGTATTTGGATAAATGAGAATTTTTAGTTTCATGTTGTCTTGTTTAGAAATTATTGAAGTTAGTAATAATGTATATAACACTTTGAATTTGTTGTGAAAATATTTTGTAAATACTCAGTGTTCAACAAAATTATTATTATAGTGAACTAAGGTCTCAACATGCTTCAGAGATCATACAGTTCCGCTTTATCTGTACATGTTATTGCTGGTTCAATAATGTGAGAATTTTAGGACTAATTTGCTTTTACAGATATCTTTGTTTTTGTTCATGTTTTATCTAAATGTGTGAAATTTTTTGGAATTTTAAATGTAATTGATAATTTTCTACATAAGAAACCTGCCTACTAAATATTTCATACAATTTCCTGTATAATATTGATACTTGTTGTGTTTTACTGAAGATAAACTACTGGAACACCTAATGATGTTTCACTTTGCTTGGCATTGTTTACTGTGTATTCAAAAGTTTAAGATTAAGAACAGTTAAACATATAAATTCATTATAGCAATGATCTAAAAATAGCAAAATATGTAAGAGAGAGGGAACATGTGCTCTGTATTTTGGTCAAATCAATTTTAAGTTTCTTAAACTTTGGAAATTTTCCTTTTTTGTTGTTAATAACGACATTTATTGACAACAAGGACCTGTTGGTCCATCAAACCTGTCTCATCCACTAAACTGAACTTAAAAAACTTAAAAGACAGCCAATATTGTTGAAATATTTATCAATTTTTTTCCTTTAAACTGCTTTAAATTTATTACATCCACCATATCTGAAGACAACTCATTCCACCGAGGTTAACCACCTTGTTAGAAAATTACTGTCCTAGCTGAAAATTACTCCTGTCAGGACTGCCAAAATGTATTTTTGTTTCTCCTTGTTAATGTGTTTTTTTTTTACACAAAGGATTTTCATTCCTATCACTTATGTTTAACTTGTGTAATTGAATTCTTCAGTGTATTTTTTGGGGTTGAAATAGATTTATAAAATATTCCATATAATTGTTTTGCATTATAGAATTACTCTTATAATGAACATAATTTTTATTTTTAGTCATAAAACCCTGATTTATTGATTATTTTAAAAGTATTATTTTTCCTTATAATGCTATAACAAATGCGTTAGATTAATTTTTTAATGATTTGTAGTTACTTCTCCCATTTTTTATGGGAGTTTATTTTTACATTATATCTAAATGTTTGGCTGCTTGTAATGAGGAATGAGATGACCAAGAGGTTAATAAAGTGAGGGACTCTCTCACTAAGTACACTAATAAAGTTATTTGTAGTATGGAGTATAGAAAGTTTAGAATTAGGATTTGTTTGTCAAGTGATGAAATACAGGACATTATATAGTATCTTGATAGTTTAGTTACTGGTACCAAGGAACATTCTCATTTTTTTGTGCTTGTAGGAGAAAACAGTGTTGGATATTGAGAATCATAAAAGCTGTTTAAAAAGTGCAAGAACTTCAGAAGTTTAGGGACAGAAATAGACATGTGGCCATTTTGAGAGTATTCTCTTGGGCTAGATGCCAGAATGAATTACTTAGTAGGATCCAAGGCTTAAATGAAAAATTATCAGGGATATGCTTGGGGCAACAGGTTAAATGGATGAATCTGTGGGATAAAAGTTTG